TGACGATATAACAAGTGATTATAAATGGCTTACTTAAAAGATATCAACAAAAGAATCGTTTTGAAAGCTTCATCCCAAAAGAAAAGATGACAACCTTCAAAAATCTAAAAATAAACGGAAACCATCTCAAATTTTGAGACTTGTAATTTTTGAGTTTATATAAATTCTTAAATTGGGTAAGAACTAACGTGAAATCTGCCGAGCAATGATGGAATTTGTCGAGCCATAAATTCAGAAATACCTGAACGTCCTGACATACTCCTGTGAAATTTGGAATATTTACTTCAATAAATAAAAATAAAATTATATGAAACGTGCTATCCAAAAGCAGAAAATAATATTCTACTTCCTCAATCTCGAAATATTTCGTTGATTTTATGAGCGAAGAAATCTAATCAATTTGCTGCTATTGTTGTTTCTATTACAAGCAATCTCGATAACACGTTTGCGAAATAAAATAAAAACAATTAATTATTGGCATACAGGAGCTTTTGTTCAAACTTTTCAAGGTAAAATTTAATTATAGAGGGCGAAAATAAATGGCAGTAAGTTTTAACAAGTCATGAAAGTCGTTGATGTTCATATGATTAAATTTCTGTTCAATAGAGAAACTAGTTTCATTTCCAGAATTTCACTGATATTTCCATTTAGGGCTAAGCATATATGTTAAAGATCGATTTTTTTTATTCAACAAATATTGCCTGATCGCTGCATTTATTAGCCGTAAGATCCAGCTCCCTATTTCTCTGATCTTACATGAAAACCCCGATGAAATAAGCATGGTATAGAATCCAGTTAGATTATTGGTTTTTATGAGTTCTTTTCACCATAAAGTATTACAAATACGATTGTATCCGTCAAAAAGACCAGAAGATAAGAGAAACCTATTTAAACTAAGTTCAATTTTAATTTGGTTTTGTTCGACTGTTTTATTACTACTGCCAGTGCGAGTCATTATCATAGCAAACCTGGTACATGGAATAATCTAATCATCGTTAAATCGAATGATTTATTAGGTCCGAAACAAATGCATATAGAAATCTACCGAAAATGTAATATAATTTTGAAAAGATGTCTGTTTTAGAAAAAAAATCGTAAGCCGTAGTGGGAATCAGATGGCAGCCTACCAAAACTTTACCATGATCTACTCATATGTTTCGGCAGAAGCATATTTTCAATTTGAAAAAATACAAAGAAGTGGAGATCTGGTATTCCACAAGTATTTTTGTCTTATTGTACTCTCTATAATTCCTTAGTTCAGTCAATGGCTGTCATTGCTGAGAACTTTTTTCCGGGAGTTGTTTATACCCTACGGATTATTTCTCTGTTGAGCGTTGCTTCGCATTCGGATATGATATAGTTGGCAGTTTCTTCCTCGTCATTCTCACAAATGGAGCCATCATTGAATATATCACGATTTCTACGTGTTTTCTCAGACCATGACTGCTAAATACATCTACTATGTACATCCATATCACACCTTTGAGTTATGCCCTGTAGCAATGTGCTTGCCAGTTTTGGTGAGGGTTCTTCACTCACGTGCCTGACACATTTGGGTTTTGTCCAATTTTTTTTCTGGACCGATTCTGAGATGGAGTAGCCTATTTTTTATCTCATTACACCACCCACGATATTGTTAAATTGTTGTGTTTTCTCAAGTTTTGGAGCTTTTGAAAGTGACCTTTTGCAAAAAAAAATACAATACTAACAACAAGAAACCGAATATCGAGTTTTCAAAACAAAATGTATTGTTTTTTTTTACAAATTTTAACCAAGCAATGGTGCAACAAGATAAATTAGAAGTTATAAAAAGTTTTTACATTGTCGTTCTGGATTTTTTGAAATGATACCAAAAAATTGATATCTTTACCAAGTTCATTCACTGTCTAATAGTGTATAAATTTAGAATCTCTAAGTTTTAGAATCTCTAAGTTTTATACCTTATGACCATTAAAATAATAAAAATAATAACCGCCATAAAAATAATAAATGTGTTCTCACAAAATAATAAATGTAATTTGTCTCTATACTTTTTGATTCACAATTATTTAAAAAGGTTAGTGGATTGATTAACTGTCTGGATATATTATATAAAATCTCTCGTATGATTTTAACTTTTTATAAATTTACATTCGATAATAGATTGTGTGTGTTTAGTTGCGTCGGGACCACTTTTAACACTGAGATTTATTGAAAGGAAATTAACAAAGCTTACGTAAAATTACTGGCTCTAGTTTCTAAAACGTCAAAAAGGTTAAATTTGAACAGTCTGTATTCATATTTCCTAAGATGACGCATCGGTATTGTCTTCCTCGCCTGAGCACCTGGATTAATATTATTATTTTTTCATTATTCAGATATGGGAATAAAGCGTGAATCACGGTGAAAACAACCTCCACGGCATGTTTTCCAAGTCTAAGATAAAGACATTGAAATAATTCGAGAAAAACAGATTTTTATTATGTTTTGCATAAAATTTTATTCCAATTTTCCATAAAATGAAAATGTTTAATATACAAACAAAAAATCTAAAAAGAACAATAGACCATTTGGCTTTATATTGAAAATCTTAAGGAAGGGAACTGCAAGAATTTTAGAACTAACTTTACAAAACATTAATGAAATATGGACAAGGAACGAGTGACATAACTTTGAAATGTCTGTGTTGAAACAAGCTTTTAAATTCAGTCTACGGCTGGCAAAACCTCACTCTCCGAGCTTTCCCAAAGAAATAATTGAACGGGAAAACCAATTCCTCTGAATCTGGATTAATGGGATTTGCTACCTTCCAGGAGGCAGTTGAGTGAAGTTATTAAAGCCATCGAACCAGAAGAAAAACGTTCCCTATCCCTTCTCTCAAGGGTAAACGCTCCGCATTAGTCATTGCAGGGAGATTATTTAGTATTATTATACAATCTCCTATGGGAATTGTCCTTGGGAGGAATGGGAAAAATCTAAATCGCAATGATTTGCTCATGCATGTTATGGTTTAAACGATGGAAAGACTAATTCGCACGTATAATATACAAGATTCTCCAGTCGTCAATTAGAGAATATGTGAAAGATAGTTATTTTATTCTGTCTGTCTATATCAAATACACTTTAATGCACGAAAGAATACTCTAACTCCAACTTTAATTCCAATTAAAATTTAGAAATCAAAAAATGTCTAGAATGTAGGTGAAATGTCTAAATTGTTATCGTTATCTGTCAATATAAATTTGAAAACCAACAGTAAATGAGAGGGATATTAACAAAAAGTGAGGGAAATAATGTAAAAGCAACCGTGAGAGCTAAAACGAGAGAGAGAGAGGGAGAGGGAGGGAGAGAGAGGGAGAGAGGGAGAGAGAGAGAGAGAGAGTGTGTGAGAGTGAGTGAGAGAGAGAGAGAGAGAGAGAGAGAGAGAGAGAGAGAGAGAGAGAAAGAGAGAGAGACAGGCAGGCAGGCAGACGGACAGACAAACAGACAGGCAGATAAACGGAGTAAGAGTTTGTGCGTGGGTATTTGGATATGCAACCATGGTTTGGTACTCTAAGAAAATACACGTATTGATTAGTGATTCTGAAATTAAACAATAACGAATTGACTAAGTACTGAAAGAAAACGATAACGTATTGATCATGTACTTAAATAAAACAATAACCAATTCACTAAGTATAAACAATAACGTATTAATTCCGTACTGTGATAAAACAATAACGTACTGATTGCGTAATAAAATAAAACGATAACGAATTTAGTATGTACTAAAAAAATTATATTCACTAGGTACATAACGAAAACAATAATATATTGATTACGTACTATAATAAAACAATAACGTATTGATTACGTACTATAATAAACAATAACGAATAGACTAAGTTCTGAAAGAAAATAATACCGAGTTGACTAAGTACTGAGCGTAAACAATAACGTATTGATTATTGTCTAAGTACTCAAAGAAAACAATAACGAATTCACTTATTACACCAAGAAATTAATAAGGTATTGATTAGCTAGTAAGAACGACTAATTATGGCAGGAAACAATAACGTATTAATTTAAAAAAACTACGATAAAACAATAACGTACTGATTTCGTAATATAACAATCAAATAACGAATTGATGAGGTACTAAAAAAAGTACTGAAAGAAAAGAATACCATATTGGTTAAGCATTCAAATAAAGCAATAATGCGTTAATCATGTACTCAAATAAAACAATAACGAGTTAACTAGGTACTTACAGAAAACAATAACGTATTGAGTATGCACAAACAATAATGAATTGAGTAGGTACTCAAAGAAAATAATAACGAATTGACTTGGTACTCAGAGAAAACAATAACTTGTTGATTACGTACTTAAAAAAAAAAAAACAAAAAAAAACAATAATATATGGATATATGGATTAGTTACTCAAAGAAACAATATCAAATTTTTTAATAACAAAACAAAAATTATATTAAATAGTGACTTTGGTATAATACCTGCCTATTTTAATTGTTTTTACATTATTCATTAGAGACAAAATTAGAGTCAAAATCCATTAAGCATGTATCACAAATGAATTTTAAAATAGTTTGAATCAACATTTAACCATATTGTTTAAGCGTTAAGCAAGTAGATATTTGTCGCGAAGTATTTTACAATCGGTGGAAGATAAATCGGATGCATCGTTGTCGAAGACTGCCGAACTTATTGTCAGTTCAACATAAACCGTCAAGGGTTTGAAAGGGCTTCGTGACTCCTGTGAATAATGGTCTATTAGAAGAAAACATGGTGTCACGACGATGATAAACAACCGGCGAACGTACTTCTTTGGTGCAAAACCGTCTGGATGGGAGGTTAAATCCTGTCATTATCGCCTTTACGCCCGGGCAAGAAAGTCTTTAATATTCCATTTTCCAAAATACCACCCCGCTTTCTACCCCGTCCAAGAGATGCGGACACCTTTAAGCTTAGTTTGGGGGTATATAATCGACAAATAAATTTTAAAATGAAACATAACCACTTACGAATATTATCAGGTTAAAGAGGCACAGGACATATTTGGCGAATAAGCTCCCGCAATCCATTTTCTTTTGAACCGGTGTGGTTTCTGAAACAAAAACATGATATATTTAAAAATCTTGTAACACAATAAATAATTAAGTTTAAAAATATTGATATAAGCTAAAATTAAAAAAAAGATATACTAGACATTCGATTTGGTCAAACACTGTCGTAGCTATTTTATTTATTTTGATCCTTTTTAGGATTTTATGGTGGCTTCTTTCTGTTCAGATATGCCAGTAGTCTTCAGGATCTTGAGCCGAAGGTAGGAAACAGTTCAGAAGAAAAAATGTTAATATTTTTAACGTAGAAAGTTTATTCATTACAATTTAAATTAATTCAGATGATAATGCAATAGGGACAATTTAATTTTTCTAAAGGTACCAATAATGGTGGTATTACTTGCTGATGGTTGCGTTTTCCCAGGTTTTTGAAATATATTAGGCATTCCTAAACCAAATATCAGTTGAAGATGGAAGTCTCTAAGACCTTCAGTGCTTCGATGTCTGAGAATATGTGGATTCAGTGCACCTTCAGTCGTTTTTGAATTCTTGTGCACAAGGTTTCTAGTGAATGTACCTCAGGGTGGAAAATTGACGGTGTTGGGCCTACAGGCTTGGTCAATATTTGAGCAAAAAAAATTTACCCATTCATTACAACTATGACACAGATAGTAAACTGAATTTCTTGCACATGGAGATCTGCTCAAATGCAAAGGATTGCAAAGGCAATTCAGAAAAACAAATACCCACTATTTTAGTCAAGTTTTTTAAAAAGACAATGTGTTCATTTAATATTATTACAGTGATTAATTCATGTTTAAAAAAGCATAAACAACGCGTGCACAAATCACTTAGGAACAAATTTGTTAAATTGGAAGAATCAATTTAAAACCAACCTACAAGTTACATTAGTATGTAAGAATCGTTCGTGCTTTCTTTACTATATTCGTATTTCATTGATTATGCTAAAGTCTTTGACTGTGTGGATCACAACAAACTATGGCAGGTCCTTAAAGAGATGGGAGTACCAAGCCACCTTACATGTCTCTTGAGAAACCTGTATAAGAGTCAAGAAGAGAGAGTTAGAACCGGATATAGAACAACTGATTGGTTCAGCATAGGAAAAGGAATACGACAAGGATGTATATTGTCACCTTGCTTATTTAATACATATGCAGAGCACATCATGCGAAATGCCTGGATGAATCACAAGCGAGAATTAAGATTGCTGGAGAAAAAATCAACAACCTCAGATATGCAGACGAATCCACTCTAATGGCAGAAAGTTGAAGAGGACCTAAAGAGCCTCTTGCTCAGGGTAAAAGAGGAGAGCGCAAAAGTGGGCTTGAAGTCAACATCAAAAACTAAGATCATGGCAACCGGCCCCATCGCTCCTTTGCAAACAGAAGGAGAAGTCGTGGAAGTAGTGACAGAATTCACGTTCCTGGGATCCCAGATCACCACAGATTGTTACAGCAGCCATGAAATTAAGCCTGCCCCTTGGGAGGAAAGCGATGGCGAACCTAAACAGCATGATAAAAAGTAGAGACATCTCCCTGCCCACAAAAGTCCGCATGGCCAAAGCAATGGTATTCCCAGTAGTCATGCATAGGTGCGAGAGTTGGACTATAAGGAAGGCCGAGCGCCGAAGAATAAATGCTTTTGAACTAGTGTGCTGGAGAAGACTCTTGAGAGTCCCTTGGACTGCAAGAAGATCAAACCAGCCAATCCTAAAAGAAATCAACCCTGACTGTTCCCTGGAAGAGCAGACAAGTTCAAATACTTTGGCCACCAAATGAGAAGGGAGCACTCATTGGAGAAGACCCTGATGCTGGGAAAGATTGAAGGTCAAAGAAGACGGGGACGACAAAGGACGATATGGTTAGACAGTGACATAGATGCAACGAACATGAAATTGAGTCAACTTCAGAGGACAGCAGAAGACAGGAGGGCCTGGCGGGACTTGGTCCATGAGGTCGCAAAGAGTCGGACTCGACTGTGCGACTGAACAAAAGTGCTTTCTTCTTTATTCATACATAATAAAGGAAATTCGGTTGCACAATGAATAACATTTTAGTATTAATATTTGTTGCAATAATATTTTCCCATGGGATCAATTGGATATTATCTTGTCGATTACGGGGTATAAAAATAACAATATCGATCTGATGGAAATCATTTGAATCCTGTTAAATATGTAAATGGTTTTCAACTGACATATAATAATAAATTACAGTAGATTAATGAAATAGTGTGGCTTAAAACAATCTAATAAATATTATTCTTGATATGTACGACACTCTTCTTGGCTTAAAATGCTTAAGATGGTTGATTGAGAACGAATTATTTATTGAAATCAATAGGTATATTCCACTTTCTTTCTTAATTATCTTTATAGATTTTTTTCTAAATCAGATTTTTCCTTTTACCACTAAGTCAATAAGAAGGAACGTCAAATCATGATGGTTGTCTCTTTCCCTTCAACACATTCTTTAGCAGATCCGGTGCAAATTTCGTCTAATCCGTGAATAATCTTGGATGTTGTGTGCAAACCTCAATTCTGTCGAGTAAGGTGTTCTCCCTGTGTCAAAAGTAGAACCCGGTCTCCTCCCTTCTTCAAATCAATGGAAAATCTAGGACATCATTTTCACAATGGTGATCCTCTTCAACCCCGTTTGAACGACATAGAACCAGCCGTGCTTTCTCCAAGTTATGTTTGACCAACCGTCGACATTTCTCAACAGGGGAGAATGCAATCTCGGCCAAAGGTTCAAAGGTGAAAATCGAAGAGCAGGAAGATTGGCCCTGGGTTAAATGAGATTCTAGTTTTATGGAAAGTGGGCAAACGACGAGTAGTGATCCCTCGTCGGCCATGACGAAACTTTCCGGAATTGTATCGTTTTAATAGGCAAAATTTATGTATATTCAAACTCCGTAGTATCTATCTATTGTTCGTTCTGGCATGCTACCGACATCGACTAGCCACATGGTTATTTAGCCAAATACTTACTTCAGAATCTAAAATAGTTCAGGCCGAATAATTATCAGTCTCGATATCTTTCTCTAAAATGTCTGGGGAATGTCGGAAATATTACGGATTGTTGATTTCTATAAACGTCTTAATAAGGCGGGCGAGAGCCGAGCAAAGGTCAGGTTCCCATCTATAGAAATAATGAGACCGCCAAGTCAGATCGGCCTGAATTTTATTTATCTTTCACATGTCCCTACTATTCTTTTCTTTTTTTTACCACTAGGCCTGGATTGCTTTCTAGAACCGTATGGCCAACTAAGAACGGCTTTCTATAAATCAAACCACTCTCACTCTGACGCTCTTGGCATCCGGTCAAAAACAGGCATTGACTGTTTTAGCATTAAGCAGGGTTTTATTCCTGCGAGAACAAAGCATTCTTGGTTAAGTAGTCAAATTCAATTGGCCGACAACTATAAAAAGGATTTGTTTATATCTAGGATTATACGAAAGTTTCATCTTATAGAGTGATCTTTATGAACAATGAAATTATATGAAAATCATGAAATCACTCTCATAGTCATGATCATGTTAAAAATTGTAAAATTTGCTTAGTGTGGCTTCAGATCTGCTTCAGGGATTTTGCTTAATACGAATCATTTTTCCATTTTCGGAAGTTATGAATATGTTTCGTGTGTTTTGACAAGAGGTAAGGGAAAAAGAGAAATTACTAGGACTCAGAGATGATAAATTTTGTTTTACTGGATGTACGAAATTTAATTCAACTCGTCGTAGTAACATGGAAAATTTATTAACTTTAACAGAACATTTCTCAAATGTGGTGTCGACATTAATGAATGTATGATCTCAATTCTTTTATCTCAGGTTTTTCAGTGCAATCTACTTCTGTCCGTCATATATATTTTACTTAATTAACTTAAGATTTTCTAAAAATCATGTATCAAAAGACTCGCATATCTGTGGCTTTAATACCGTATACCTATACGTTTGTAAAAGAAGACTTTTCAATATGAAAACCAGTTTATAGGAACAACCGTTAACAACCTGAATTTGTGACTGTGTTAATGTATGACTCGGGCCCATTTAAACCATTAAATTATGCCTTTCGTTCATTATAAATATACCATGTCGTATATATTTATTAAGGAAAAATTCTTAAGATTGACCTAAATAATCAGTTCACTGTGATCAGGATTAATACAAACAGCGAGACTAGACGAACCAAGAGTTGATTTTTGCTTCTTATTATCATGAAAAAACCTTAATATTACAAAAACAATAAAAATTGCCTACATGGAAATTTACAGATATGAAAATTGTCCAGGATTTTTAGCCGAAATCTGAAAACAATGCGGAAAAACTATGTTTCGAACGGAGAAAGTTTATTCGTTGCAATTTATAATAATTCAAACGATTTGACTTTTTTGTTCCTTAAATAAAATATTATTTTAATCACGTGGTTTTAGTCAAAACTTTTGACTCTTAGGTAAGAAATATCGCGGAGGAATGAGGTATCATTTCCTTTCCCAACTTATAACACTAACTTTCCGCCATAAAGTAATAAAAGGATAGTCTATCGGCCCAAGGGTTTTTTTTTGCTGTTTCTATCCTCCATAAACCATCAGAAAAAGGATTAAACGAGTTTGCCTACAAAAAAAAGTTCAGAACAAAAAAACTTTTGTATTTCAGTGAAAATTTATTCACTAACTAATTGAGACGATACATATTTTGTGATCCTTCAGGGTGACAGTGATCTTTTTTTTCTACAAGATATAATTTAATAGATCAAGTGTGGAATTGACCCAACTCTATATCCACACCACAGAAAGTGCACTATCCTTAGAATAGCCTATTCACTATTTCTCTAGGCATGTAGTCGTTTCTTGTTCACTTACGTTTTTAGTATACTTTGGGATGTGCCGGTTTGCGGTTCTAGTATAAAGAGTATAAAGGGTGAAGGTTGCTCCTGTTTTCTCTGGATTGCCAGCCTGTTCGTTTCCTTCATTCCCATCGTGTCCCGGCATATCAGAGTTATCTGGTTGCGTTTTTCCAGGG